CATTTTTTGTTTGCATGAACCGGTAATGCTGCTGAACCAAAATTAAATTTGTGGCACGAAGTAACAGATGATATGATATAAAGTGGTCTATGTATCAGTTGAGTCGAACAATGAAGAATTTCAAGTTATACAGTTGAAAACAATCCCCTTTCTGATAGGTCTGACTGTTAGGTGTTAGGATCTTGTAGCTTCGCATTGACTCTCTGTTTATGTTAATAACCGTGACAAGCAAAACATTTTCAGCAGCGAGTTGGGTTTTTCCCATCAAGTTATTGCATTTTTTGTGGGAATTGTTAAAAAGAGTAGATTCAAGTTCAGGAATGGAGGAATGAGACCGCGTAAGAACCCCGGGAGGGGGGTACTTGCAAAAATACTGACAGGGGTGTGTAGATAGTTGTTTGAAACACCTACCCCTTATCAGACAGAAATAAACTCAAATTGCCTACCCATTTTCAGACAAACTGTGGATATTTGACACCCCTTTCTAGACAGTAAGCATAAATGGTAAACAGCGAATCAGAAGATCCGTTTCAGTTTTATTCATTCCGGGAAATGGGAGGGGGCGGCAGCTATTTTTATTTACATAGATGGACTCCTGGAGATAGACTTCGACGATCGGAACGAAGTTACAAAAAGAACAAAATCAGCTTCATTCTCCGATTGTTGGATCACTCAAGCTTTAGAGACAGTCTTTGGAAAATATGGACCCCTTTTCAGACAGAAATAATGAAAAAAATCCCCTTTCCAGACAGACAGGGTAAAATAACATACCCGTTTTCAGACAGAAGTGGTGAAGTAGTGTAGCACTTCAACTTCAATGTGAGCCCCCCCCCGGTATGAACTGCAAGTGGCTAATTCTCAGTCAGAATCCTAAGTTAGTTTTCGACGTGTTTATATATTGTCACCAAGTTGCATTGATGTTGTCATGACGACGCCAGTGAGGGCGTATAAGTGTCGAGCGATCCTAGTGTACCACTCACTGCCTTGCGAGTTACCCATTCCCCGTTACAACCACTTCCCGTATATTCAACCTGACGAACCATCCAACCTTAACAACCCCTGATAGACGAAACCCGCATTGTTTACAATATGTATTAAATGTATACTATCGATCCATATAAAATAGAATACGTGACTTTTTCAGATGTGAAAACAAAATTTGTTGAAGATCATCTTTGAGCCCCAAAGGTAATTTTTGGCATCATTCACAAATTAAAAATATATTGTTTTATATTTAATTCTGATCAACAGGTAGCAAATGGCAGATTATGTTCATTTACAAATAAATTTTAGAAAAATACTGTCATGAATTTGTTTTTGCGTATCTGTTGACCGACTTAATTAGTTGATTATTAGCTGAATTGCTGTGTTATGTCTGTCATCGTTTAGGCCTATTTGAAGTTTTGGACGGAACTTGGCTCAGTGATTTGGAATTAATTACCAGATAACCGTCGCGATTCTGACAGTTTATATTCATAGTTATTAATGTAGTGAACGATTAATCAAAAGATATGACGTATTCAGTACTTAGTGTGATTGGCTTTATGATTGAAGGTTACGCCCTAGAGTCTTTTTACTGTTTTGTAATTGGTTAGAGTTTTGAAAATGAATAAAGAGAGTTTGAGTTGGTCTTGGGGGGCACAGCACGATAGAGGCAGTCGAGGGCAGTCCTGGAGAGTCGAGAGGGCAGTCCTGGAGAGCCTTGGGGCGAGTGTTGACGCAGTCTAAAAGAGTCTTGGGCCAGCCTTGCGATAGTCTTGGGGACTTTTCCCCAGGGCGCTGTGTCTTATAGAGTGTTCGATTGACCGACTAATACGAGAGCTGAAACGTATTTCGTTGTGTGCGTCTTATTTGGCTGTAAAGTATAAGTGACTTTCCCGATCCCGTACCTCAAGGGGACGAGATATAGAGACGAGACGAGATCCCCCCCTGAAAAGTGTGGAGAACCCGAGAGTAAAAGATTTTCCCCGTGATAATACACTAACATTTGCAAAATGTTACATCAGAAATTTGGAGGAAAAAATGCTGGCGCTCAATTCGTTAATGGTATGTATTCATTCCCTCAACCCGGATGTGAAAGCTGCTATAGTCGACATATATATTAAACACCATAACCATAAGCGAGGTATTTTTTTCTTTCTTCCATATTTATTTCGAATATGTCCTTCAAGGTAGGATACTGGGTTAACTGACCCCATAACGCCGAAGTCATTACGTAAGCCAATATGTAAAAACAATAATATTACCCCCCCCCCATAAATACCAATTTTGTTGACAGATGTTTGTGGCGTGGTAACTTGAATATTGAAATTTAAAAATCCAATTACATTTACATAGGTAGATTGTTCCGGGCCACAATTCATGAAATGAAGCAGGTGGTTTATAAGTCGCGCTCTCTAGTGACAAAGCGTTAATGTAACTTCACAGCCACGTTGGTGGTGGTGGTGGTGCAAAATTGTTCAAAACAGCGGTTCAAAACGACTACACTGTGGGTGGTTGGGTAGCCGTTCGTCGTATAAGATTTAGTAAAAGTCCTCAAAACATTATTTATTGACAAAAGACTACAGATCAAATCAATAGAGATGCCCGAGCGGTATTCTTGTCGCCAATTATATCACAGAGGGCGCAATTTGTGCTATATACGTTGATCATTGGGTAATACAAATCACAGTACCTCTATAGTGATAGAAGGAAGGTATACACATTTATAAATTACACCATATTTTGAAGTAAAATAACCAGTTACATATGTTATTATAATAGTATACTAGCCTTGGTCAGGGGAGTATATTCGGGGTAACAATCACTAATAATTAGGTTAATAAGTTAGAGGAAATTGTGTTTTTTTATTCAATAGCAACCATGGGTAGCAAGCAAAAGTGCGATTCAGAGGCGGTCAGTGAACCAGGGGTTTGGTAATTGCTATGACAATCCTAACTTTCCAGACACCTTCATAGACATTCAGTGAGCACATTCCCCACTTTTCATGCAATTTTACTGACATTCCAGACTTTCAATGTTTATTTTGCGACATTCCATGCAACTTCATCAATTTCCCAGACTCCCTTTTAGACATTCAAGGGAACGTTTCCAACTGTCAATGCAATTTTACCTCTGGACAAATATCAATGAATTGGGAAGTTTACCATCTTACTGGGCACCCTCAGTCATTTAAGACTACCTTTCGGTCATCCCATACAATTTTACAGATATTTAAGACAATTTCTATATTTCTTGCAATTCAACAGAATTTGGATGCAATTTTTCCAATTTACATAGGAGTAGTACTTCCTGCATTTCCACAGATATAATTTAAAGCATCTTTTACAGCAACAGGATTAGACCACATTACTGTTGGATGATTGGCAAGGGTGTCATTATCATATATACATTTACTAGATCCTCAACCCCAAACAAGCCATCAATCATGATTATCATACTTATAGCTGCCCTTTAACTATCAGCAAGTACCACAGCATTGGTCAGCAGCACACATGGTGCTAACACATGTTAAACACCTCTACCTTGTTCTTAACCAATCAAAATGCTCCATTGTAGGGGCCTTGTATACATTAAATGTCCTGTTTCTGAGTTTGAACTGTTTTCTAAAGTCAAATTTTTGTTTGCATAAATGTCTGAGGACTTTCTTTCCCAAGGATTTTATACAAAATACATGATATGGAAGAACAAGTTTTAGAGTGACCACAAACGCTGCCTATTTAGCTATCCATAACACAATGTTGGTAATAGTTAGATCATGAATAATTACAATTTGATAAGGCAAATTTTCCACAATTACAGTGTGTATACTTTATGAGAACATTGACCACAAATACTGAAACGTGAATGCATGCACTTATTGGGTAATAATTATTCTCTTGTAGCATATTCCGTATAAAAATTGGGGCATGGTACTTTTTCACCCATTACAAATTTTGAGTAGAATTGTTGATGCAACTCACTAAAGTGTTAGAAATACCCTCCTAAAATATATCTATAGATGGATTGGGACAGTGGGTTTTAAGATAGATAAATCCACTCATTTGATTTCACTTCTCAGTCTTCTTCTGAAGACCTCATACAATTTTGACTGCAATCAAGACATTTTACCCGGACTATATCCCAGATGAGTCCACACACTCTGGCTGTATTATCATACACCTATCACTGAAGATAGCCATGTACTCCAGCTTTGTATCCTAACCCCAATATCAACCAAGAGTTTATCACGGAAGATTACTTTGTAGTGTTTGCAATCCAAGCTTGCTCTCATCACAGAATAAAACACACAACAAAATCAGCTTGATAGACTTTTATAGAGAGAATTTGCAACTGGCAGGACGTTAAAGTAAATATGCCATAAGCCAGTAACATGCATTGGCAAACACATGGTTGACTTTCACAAAAAAACAACAATAACACATAAATAAAATATATATATATATCACTCAATTGTAAAATTAGTAACCAATTAATTAAAACAAGTAACTTATACCAATATTAAGTTAACAGAACTTACAGCAGGATAGCACCAGATAAAACAAAAAAAGGTGATATAGGCTACATAAATCATGTACAATATTTGAAACAGATTACGAGCAGAGCAGAGATGGTGTTTATATTGATTTGTTTCTGAAAACTGCTCATAGAAATCAAATAAATTTGTATGACACTATTCTATATTTGGTTAATATTTTGGACAACACTAGCTTATGTAATGGGATAGTCTTCGTACATACTCTTGAAGGCCATAAACCAGATTTATGTGGATGAATTATCATTTTGGCTTGTATTCAGTTTTACACAGCACCTACACTATGGTACATAGTATCAAAACAGTTTGCTTGTAATGTTAAACTTGGCAGTTTCTGAATTGATAATAAAAAGTCAAAATAAAAACAAACTACGTAAAAACAAAGCAACCAATATAATTTAAAAAACACTTTAAGTAGATAATGGTACAATTGGAAGAGCAGTATTCATTGGCAGTCTTAGATAAATCCACAAGTGTATAATCTATATATTTCTGAACTATATGCAATTAGCACACAGAAATTTCATCAGCGAAATAAATTTAGTTTACAATAGGTTGTTGAATGTTGTTTTACAAACATATTTGAAAAGGTTTTACTAGAATTATATAATTTATTTTTACATGACATATTAGCGGCATTTTAGGAAACAATTTCATAGAGCAGTGGCTGTAACTCTGCTACGACAGAATTCAGTTATACGACTATAACATGCAAGACGTACAGACAACCGGGTGGTTGCTGTTCAACACATACCCCAGTCTGACGCCCTCATATACCACTCGTCCCAGTTATTCATGGAGGCTTTCCACAGGCGATGTGTTAACTGAAATGGCAGTATGGAAATCTGCTAACTATACCAACTTCCATGCTTTCATTTCAACAATGTTCAGGTATTGGATTTGATGTTTTTCACGGAATAACTAAGTTTTAATTACAAGGACACACATTTGGGATACTGGTAACCGATATAAGATTACATTTTGGGGTTATTATCATAACAAATTATTCAAAATATCAATATGGCAGTTGCTGTTAAAACACATGTACATGTATATTCAAACAACCTCTTGGGATGTATATATAAATTAACAAATATCTGTAAATTACACATGCAGTATACAAATTAAAAAACAAACATCAAATGGCTGTTAGAAAGTTCTGTTGTTCATGAAAACAATTAACATGAATAACCTTTTTTAAAATGGCAATCACTTTTAAAATAGGACGGTGCCTGAGATGAGTAAATCAATAAATAAAATATTTCTGCATGCAGACAGTAATTTCTACGACTTAAAAGGCGGTGTTTGTTGTGCTGCGCATGTGCGACATTTGTGTTGATAAAAATTGATTTTCCCACAAAAGTACGAGTTTTGACCAGGGTGTAACATGCACTAATTACCACCAGTGACTCCTTCGATATCTTGAAATCACCAAAGAATTTACATAATTAAATCTTAGTAACGTCTCAGTTTGTACTTGTTGGTCTGTGCAACAGTCAAAGTTGCCATCTTTGTTCATATGAGACCCATACCTCATGCATACATGGCACAACAACCACCGCCCTTTAAATATGGCAACACCATCCTTCAAATCTCTGCTGCTATAAAGTAACCACTGGAGGGCGCTATATCGAGAATCCATGGACATTGTTCTGGTATAAATACCCGGTAACATCAGGCAGAGTTTTTAAGAGTATACTACTACATACAATTCTACTTTACAATCTTTATGAATTATTTCTAGAATACTTATTATATCATCCATATTTCTGAAAAGTATATGATTTAAAAGAAAACATTTCTGTGGATCTGTTAACAGTTATCAATGCATAAAAGGTACACATTTAACATATCTTCACAGGAATTACTATTCATTTGCTGGGTAAAATTTTAATTATGTATAAAGAGTGTTTGAAATTTCCCCAAAATTGGGTATCAGACACCAGAGCAGGTAACTTTCAAATAATACCAGCCTCGCCAGAATATTACTAGTCCTGAATTAACAATAATTTTCAAACACATTCATTCTCATAAACCTTCACAAACACTCAACATTATGTTGACACATAAAACAAATAAATTAAATTTCCAATTTTAAATTGTTGTATCTGTGGCGATTGACGATACCAATAATTTCATTTTTGAAATGTTTATCAAAAATTGTAATAAAAATTGTTTACCAGATGACCAGCCACGCAACTTTTACCAGCCCAACTAATAACATACCCATATATATTAGTGGGCAGTAATTTCAAGGCATATCAGTGGGCAGTAATTTTAAGCCATATCGGTAAGCCATTTCAAACACTGGTATAAATAATAATACAACACTATTCACACCAACATTTTGCGAAAATTTTCATTCTCTTACACACGTTTTCACAGCCCCACTTTCCGTCCTTTTTTAGTCAATAAATAACATTAAAGATACTGAAAAAAAAATCAAAGAAAGTGTGTACATTATTCATATATGTATGTCAACATCAGTAAGTATTGGTTGGAGTCTAGCATACAAGTATAAGTTTACCATAGTATTTGCCAACACATGTATTAGGTGCCATTTCCTTGTAGTACTTTCCATTTCAGCAGCTACTACTGTAAAATCTGTATTGGAAGGAAGAGCTTCTATTGAAATGTTACAATGCAACAGAAGGAATGCGCCTTCTATTAGAGCATCTACTCATATGAGAAAAAGTGAATTTTTGGTTGTTAATTGTTCAAAAAAAATGAGTGTGGTTATTATTTAGAAATGCAGCTTCTAATACAGATTTTACACACAAGTTTACCATTATTTCTAGTTTAAAATGAATGCGTACACTGTAGCATAATAATAAATTAGAGATAAAACAACTATAAAAAACAATGGCAGTGGTACTGTTTTGAGATGAAAAGACCTTGGTATGTTCTTCCACAGTTTACAGTTCTGTTGTCATTTGATGGTGCATGCTTGTGATATTTGGAAGGAGAGCCATGGACTGTACATCATACTGTGATGATATTGTACTTTCATATGCTTTCTTCCCTTCTTCACCTGTAGATGAGATAACAAAATTCAGTGACAAGGATAACTAGCCTCATTCTACGTACTTTATATTTAGATCTGACAAAAACTGCATGGATTCTGCAAACCTATCACTTCTAAACAGTTTTTAAAAATTTAATTAACACAGTTTAATTAATTGAGCACTATTATAAGCATAAGCTCTGACGTAAATAGCAGAAATGTGTCTATGGGTAAAAATAAAGTATACAATTTGTGCTTGTATTAGAGATGTGCTTCTAAATAGAGCAGTAATGCAGTACAGACAAACCTGTGTTAGTGACCACCTCTAAACATATACATGTACTATCTGTATAATGATTTCAAAGTCATAATCAATTGAAATTGTACATTTTGATAATATACGACATAGCAGCTGAAACTAGAATACTTACCAAAGGAAAGAAGAGCATCTCGTGCACATTGTTTGACATCATCTACATCACAGCGGCAAATATACAGTAAATGATCAATACATGATGTAGCCTATAAACAAATAGAAAATCAATCTAGGTTATGACTTGCATCAACACAATGCTGTCTAATATTCTTAGCAGTATTTACTATAAACATAATACGTCAGCATTCATTTATATGAAAATTGTATTACTATGACTTCTTTTATCTGGCAGGTATATGATATGAATGATGCAATAAAACTAATAATTATTATTATCAAGTGGGCAATTATGCTTTTATTCTGTAATTCCATTACCTATATTCTAGTTGTCTGATATATGCATGGCATTTCACTTACGTTCATACTAGCTAATGCTAAACAACCAGCTTGTCTCAAGACTTTGTCGTTCTCCTCTAAGTATTCAAGATACACATTTAAAGCCTATGTATAAAACAGAAATTTAGATATATAATAATGTAATTCAAATAGATTATATAAATATAGAAGGAAAAATATTTGAAATGTATGTTTCAAGTGAAACCAGAAATTATATTGTAAATGTTATCCTCCATGTCAAGTCTGTTAAGTGTCTGCTATTCTATACCCTCCAGAGATGAGAAACTGGATAATCGTTTGTTATAAAATCAATCAAAGATAAAAAAAAAAAAGATTCACTGAAAATAAATTCTAAGCAAAAACAAAGTACTTGTAGTAATAATTCAGAAGTAAATAGATTTGCATTTAATACACAAGTTACAGGCGTTACAGTTACAGAGTGTCTCCTTGTTATAACAGTTTTACAAATGTCTGCCTCAGGAATTGCATCAACCTCACATTCTGCTTCCTAGACTCCCAAATATTAGAGAGAAACACCTACTACAGTACAAGAATGGGTCCCATTAGTACACAATATATTGCCAGTTCCTGTTCTCATCGGGACTTGCTACATGAAAATTCTAAGGAAACCCTTGGTCTATGTGCAAACTAACCTGTCTTTTCCAGTTATTATCAGTGGCCATCATTTCCATGTAGATGCTAGTAGCAGCTTTAGTAGTACTGTCAGCATTTAATAGTAACATTGCTAATGCATATAGGTTGGATGCTGGTAATGGTGTCTTTGGTAGTTGCCTTATAACTGACAACATATCTTCATTACCATGTTTTAATGTCTCATTCAATGTCACTGTAGAAATGGTATCATGAGGAGCAGTGTTATTTTTGTGTGCAAATTTACAGGTGAAATCTGGAGATCAGAATATGATATTTGTTATTGAGCATATTCTGATGATTTCAAAGTGGTTAATATTGTAAAACTATTTATTTTTACTGGCAAACAATGAGTTCTATTGTTATTTAACATTTTCACATGGATCTAATTTCGTGTACAATGTATTTCACTCACTGGTATCAGCGAAATTTAGTGAAATTAAAAACCAGCAAATAATTAATGCTTTTACAGTAGATAAGGGTATGTAAATTTGAATAAAGTTTTGGACAATAACAGGGAATAATAAAACAAATGTCTAGTGAATCAGCACGTACATGAAAGAAATAGTTTCTCTCAAATTTCAGATTGTGGCATTACATATTTTTAGTGTGTGTATGTTTTAGTCTTCATAGAAAGTTGACCTCAAATGCGTTAATATAACACAATAATATTTGAATCACATGGAAGAGATGTTGAATCACTTGTAGAAGACTTGGGTGAGGATCTGAGTGTTGTACTTAGCAGAGCAGGCGCTTCACAGCAATCTATTGAAATTAAGCCTCCAAGAACTGTTGGATTCGACCCTTTTTCCAAAACATCCTGTAGCATTTAACAGAATGTGTTACTCTTATATGTGAAAGGTTAAACGTACTTACATTCACTGATGAGGTCATTTACATAATGTTCAATATCTGGTCTATTTTTGGCTAAACACCAATTAGTAAACTGATACAATGTAACAAGGCTATTGCTACTGTTGATGTCAATAGCTTGTCTGTCCAACATCTGCTTAATCAATGATTGGAATACTGAAATCAAGAACACCATAACACCGATGATAAATGGACAGCCAGTATGTGTATTTGGCTTATTACAGCTTGTGTGCACTTACATTGGAGTTATTTTAAGGCCATTGTCTGTTCATATTATATTTATGTATTCATATATTTTTGATGAGATTGTTGATGTAAAAAGGTCAGATATAAAGCCCAAAATATATTATTGCAGTTCTTTCTTCTATTCTAGATGCATTTTAATAGACTAAAGGCAAAGATGTTATATATGACTTGTAATCAATGGTTATACATTTCTGACAATTCATTTCTAAACTGGACAAAATATTGAGAATTTAGTTTTTAATTTCTGTAACACATTTGAAACCACCTTCAGGCAGATGAATACGGCACAAGCATGCACCAGATTTGTCGAGTCCTTTTTCACAAGTCAGGAACTGTATGAAGAAATAGGATCAATACGATCTGAAACCTGATGAACATGCCTGGCATGTAACAATTATTCACGACTTCCTAATAAAACATTGGTTGGAAACTTTTAGAGAGGAGTAAATGTTACACCAAGTGGTGGATTTCCCTGCTGGAGATATGATAAAAACGATGACACGTTTACTTACCATTATCAGCAATAGTTGGATGTGTGGTCCTAAGTTTAGCTCCAAATTTCAATTCTAGTTGAACCATTATGCTATCTACACCACCATATAATATGGTAGGTTCTTCACAACATCTCAACCAAAACTCAATGAAAGCTGGTTTTTCATTTAATTCTGGTACAACTGTGAACACACAAAACATAATTGTTAGAAATAGTTTATATTTCGTCTTGTAGACTAAAAATAATTAGTATAACTCCAAACCTAAAATCTATGTACAGTTGTTTTTATGCGCATGTATGAATATAGGTATGAAATTAACCTTTTTCACCACCAATAGTCTGTTTATAGCTTGCACTTTCCTTTAGAAGATTGGGACAAAATTAGCCAAATTTTTTGAGTAAACACTCAAAATTTTCTTAAATTTTGGTCACAATTGGGTTTCATTTCCAGAAATATTTGGAATATAAGAAAAGTGCAGAAAAATTTGGGCGAGAAAGTCTTGTGGTGAAAATGTTAAAGGGAAATGTTATAGTGCAGCTGGTGTTTGCATTTTGTGTAAACAAATGATTTATTTTTAATTTAGCAATTGTTGTATATATTGCTAAGAGACCTTTTTTGATGCAGCATGACAACCACTGTCCTTTAAGTCACCAAGCACAACCAATTGTGCACATGAGAATGCTGTGATAAATATTTATTTGTAGGTTTTTGGATTATTTTATGCAGCAATAAAGGAAAAATACCTTGTTCAACAGAAGCAATAGTATCAGTTGGGTTAATCTGCAACAATCTTTGGAATATCCGAGTTTGTTTTTCTATCTTGGTAAGTGCCATGGTTTCTTTGGCTTTCAATGGACCATATGATCCTAACATCTGTTGGTTTAAAAGCACAGATACCAGTGTTGATGTAAGGGTCAGTATAGTTTTGAACCCTCAATACCATTAGGAAACAAGATCAGTAAATAGTGGAGATGATGATATTTCTTTTTTTTTTATTTGATTCTGATATATCCTGAGAGTTCAAACTGTTACTACTGTCACACATGGCTTTTGAACACCAATGTAGCATGTTAGTCAGTTGCTAATGTTGCTTTCAGACAAACGTCCTAGACTTAGACTGTAGCGTCAACAAGGTTGTTTACAAACACAATAACCCAGTACACCGATAATGTGTAATTGTACACCAGACAGTAAACGTTGCAATATAAACTATATCCTGTATATCTTCCATAGAATGACTAAAAATAAAACACAGAAATGTTTAACTAATTTCTAACATAGTACTGTAAAATCTGTATGAGAAGTCGCATTTCTAATAGAAGTCGCACACATTCTTTTTTTAAACAATTGAGAACCAAAAATTCACAATTTCTCATATGTGTAGATGCTCTAATAGAAGCCCACCTGTTGCATTATACCATTTTAATAGAAGCCAAAGCCTCTAACGCGAATTTTACAGTACTACTGTACAGTTGAACATCAATTATTTGCACATCAATCACTTGAATTTTTGGATATCTGAACTATAATTCATGGTCCATCAGTGTTTTTTTTTTAAACATCCAATATTGAAACTATTTATTATCTGAACACCCCCGTTTCCCAAGAGTTTGAATACCAATTTGAAAAGATAATTTGTAGAGCTCTTCCAAGCATATTCATTGCAGGGCAATGCCATGATATTCTATAGTTGCAGATAAAACAATATAACACAATATTATTATACAAATTATCTACTATATTGAGCAGTGGGCAAGATGAATAATACTATAATGTTATAATACTCACGGAAAGTAAATATTGGCAGTGAAGTAAATGTTGTGTAAATGTTGTGTCCAAAGCTTGGTTGCCAGTTGATACAGGTGACGATGGTGGTATGGGACTACTACCTGTACTCATACAGATACCAGCATCAATAGAAATATCTCTGAAATTATACAAAACAGTCAGTGTCCATCACAACTTAAAAGATAAGCAGTAGCCACACGATTTACTATGTATAATTTAACTTTGGATATCTCATGTTTTTTAGCTTTGTACTTTTAAATAGCCAGAAAATCAGTTTTCAAAGTGTCAAAAAATGTGTGGACACTATCCTTTTATAGGGTAGCAACAAGGGGTAAAAATGAGTTACAAATTGATCAGTCTTTCAGACATTTTCTGAAAGTTACTAAGGATGCTACTATAACAACCTATATATTATCACGATACCAGTATAGAGGAATATGGTAGTACATATGCTGTACCAATATTTGTCTATGAGATTACTTGACAACCAATTTTCAAGGTCAAGGAAATCTAAATGTGGTTTTACACTCTGCAAGGTTCCTCGCTCCACATTTATTTTGCTGTTATTTTTTTGTGAGTATGGTAGTTTTTCTCACCCTTCCATCATTTTCTCTTCTACCCTGTAGTTATCACAGTTCACTGATGTATGGATGCTTTCATCTATGGACTGGTGCTGAGTCATTTCATTATCAATCTTATTTGCTATCACAGTACAAACTTCACCACCATCTTTAACTGTCATGTTTTCAGTCATTAAATGCTTTTCTGAAAAGTCAGTGTCTTTTGTAAAACACTGAGTATGTTCAATATTAATATTACTTAGATTGAATTCAGCTTCATCAGTAATGTCATCTTCCACAATATTACAACCGACAGTGTTCTCATCTTTTACAACATTATTCTCTGTTATTGCTGACCCTGTTACAAATTCCCCGCATTCATTCGAATGTTTTTTTAATTTAACCTCTTCATCAGTAGTGTCATTTTCCACGATATTGTTCTCTGTTGTTATAGCATCTGACACTGAGACACATTCATCAGCATGTTTTTTTAATTCAGCCCCTTCATCAGTAGTGTCATTTTCCATGATATTGTTCTCTGTTGTTATAGCATCTGACACTGAGACACATTCATCAGCATGTTTTTTTAATTCAGCCCCTTCATCAGTAGGATAATTTTCTGTGATATTGTTCTCTCTTGTTATAGCGTCTGACACTGTGACACATTCATCAGCAGCTTTTTTTAATTCAACCTTTTCATCAATAGGCTCATTTTCCATGATATTGTTCTCGCTTGTTCTTGTGTCTGACCCTGTAATACATTCAACACATTCATCTGAAGTTTTTTTTAATACAACCTCTACTTCAGTCAGGTCTTTCTCTACTGTAATGTTCTCTTTTGTTATTGTGTCTGACCCTGTGGTTTCCTCCTCACATTCATGGTTCTTTGCTTTGACCTCTTGTTCTGTGAGGTCATCTTTGATCATATTGTTCTCTGTTATTGCTTCAGACTCGGTGACATCTTCCACACATTCAACCACAAGATTCGTTGACCTCATCATCAATGCAGCCATTTTCTACTGCACTGCTCTCAGTTTTCACGTCTGACTCCATGCCATTCCTCTTCACATTTATCTACAGGGGTTTTTACTTCAACCTCTTCTTCTGCTAGGTCTTCTCTCGTAATGTTCTCTGTTATTACTTCAGACTCAATGACATCTATGTTGCTGTTCTCATTCACAATATTCCTTGCTATCACATCTGCATTCGTGAAATCTTTTTCCAGGGTAGAACACTTATTAGCATCTATTAAACTCTCTGTCCGTGCAGGACATTCATTGGCATTATTCCGAGCTGCAATATCATCCCCAATTAATTCATCTTCCATAAAATCATTAACATTATTTTCAATAATTTCCGATTCAATGTTATCTTCCAAAGCATCAAGAAAAT